CGAACGATAAATTCCTGATTTTATCTGCACACTTTGAACTACGAACTTCTTTTCTAACAGAATTAAGAATACTGCGACAGCGTAATTACGATTGAAATTTAATTAGAAGAAATAATTGAGAATTAAATAGTTACACGATTGAGAATCGTATGGAAGGAGTTTCGAAGAATAATGAATAATCTTCGCAAACTTCTTGATAAAATTCTGCTTTGAAGAAGTGAGTAATTACTCCTTACAATTATCGCTCCTCGGATTAATCGATACCAACCACGGGCGAAGTTTTATTTAATATAAGAGTTTTCGATAACGTTCCGCTCCAGCCGATTAAAGAGCTTGCTAGAATTCAATACATTGCGCAATTGGTATCGAAAAAACGATTTTCGTGAAAAGTGCTCATAGTTTCTTGGCTCCTTTATTAAAGAGCAACCGACATCGCCGTAACTTTTAAGGCAATTTGTTGAAGATGGAATACTTTATGTTCCTTCTTCGTGCCCTTTACGCTAATATTTTTTACGATCCTGGAATAATGGTTACCCTAATCTTTGTAACTATGGTGAATTACTTTAACAAAGGATACATGGAAAATGTTATAGACAAAATTCAAAAATTTTGTTTCCAGACTTAAATATTATACATATCAGAATTTAAAACGAAGCGTGATACCAACGTGATACCATACAAAAAACAAATGTTGTATTAAATTTAAATGTACGTGCGTCTTATTTGAAATTTCATGACGAGTTGACTCGCCATCCCCTGTTAAAGGATTAAGAAAGAAAGAAATCGAGAAGTCTAGATACAAAAAGAATTTTTGGCAAAGGGAACATATGGAACTCGTAAAAGTGCCTAACAACCGTGCACTCAACATATGTTCGCAAATCAATCCTGCCGCGGTAATTTGTGTTTTTCTATTCCAGTAACGTGAGTTTTTTTTCTGTTCGTGTGACTTCCCCTTATTCGAACGATAAATTTCACGCCCCTGACGTTGAATTAACGCGTTTAAGAAACAAGGTAATCAATATCCTTCCTTTACCTTTTAATGAGCCTGTCTACACGCGTTTCAATATCCATTACGTTCACAAAAAGGATTTATACAATAAATGGGAAAAATCAAAATTCACATTTTCATACTATTTGTTTAAAAGCAACATTGACAGTTTTAAATTAAAATTCTTTTGCTAAATGTAAAGGAATATTTGTTGGATATCAATCGTTGAAATATTTCTCCAGATTTAGACTTTACAAAGGTTAAGGAAATTAATTTTATTAATGAACGAGTTGTTATTGCGTAAAAAGAGAACAATAACCGATTGTTCATTTACTCTTTTACTATTTGGTTAACAACAACATTGATCATTATTAACTCAACTTCTGTTGCCACAGAATTTGTACAAGGAAAATCTCAACGATATACATAATTCATTTAAACTACATTAGTTGATGCAATAAATTCTGGAAAACCTCAAATCCGAATTGTGACGTAGTACGTGAAAAAAAAATAGCACGGTATAGTCGCGAAGAGGATAAACGTCAGTGACAGAAGCCTGTCATTATCATTTTCAAATCGTCATGAGTGATGCGTGCGCCAGGTACACTGATGGAAATGACACGACAACGGGGAACATGAAATCGTTCTCGTTGTCACGACTTGTACGCATTAGCATAAAGAGGCCAGCGAATGTCTACTTTGATCGTTCGTGATTAGTTTCATTCCCGTTGACTTTAAATCGTAACCCTAAATCGACGTCGTTGATTAATGATTCTGATCAAATATTTTTTTTAAATACTATTTACGCGCTACTAACGGATTATTCGCAAAACAATTTTATGTTGTCATCCATTTTTAACCTCATCACGCCTTTGACCACATAGGTAGACATTTTTCATAATTATGATTACTGTCGACAAAAAAAAAAAAGAACAAAAATTTCATATTAACAAAAAAAATCGTCCCTGAAGAAGTTAAGTTCGATATTATTTACTCCTCTTTTGTTGAATATTTCGAGTATACAAAAAAATTCTAGCCCTATATATGCATATAAAACTCAGTTGTATATCAATTATTAAAATGTTTCTCCAGAACGAATTTATTTATATTTAGACTTTTCAGAGATTAAGGAAGATGAATTTTATAACTTAATGGATCAACAATCTCGTCTTTCTCACCATTAGTACAAGAATGACATCGATAATTATAAATTAAAATTTATCTGTTGAAAAGAAAGCAATATTTCTCTGTCTATTGAATACCAATCCTAGAAATGTTTCCTTAGAAGCTTTAAAATTTAGACTTATACTCTCCAAGGGTCAAGGAAAAATAAATTTACATTCCAACGAGTTAGCATTGCGTAAAAACAGTATAATGGATCATCGTGCATTTACTCTCTCGTCGGACGCGCGAAAAAACCGTGTTAAGAATCAGTAACGGCACCCTTCGGCTAAATATATGCAAGGGTGTCAGGCGAATGTAAATTGGATGAAAAAATTTATTGCCGTTGCGAGATCAGTTAACAACGTTACGGAAGTCGCACAATCGTCACGAAAATGTGCTCTGTTTGGCACGATTAATATACAGGCCGCGTACTAATTTAAATATCATTTGCACGGGACGCAAATGCTTGCGGTCATTAGCGTCGAAAGAATTTAATTACAATTGTTCGAAACCACCAGCACGCCGCGAGTCTGTGTGAAAATTAATCCTGGCAACGCTTGTCTCCGTAAAACCGTCACACACTAGCTTTAGCCCAGATTTTTACCGAACCGTTAATGCAATTCTTAAGATTTCAACGAGACCGTCGTTACCAAGAGTCTATTATTTTAATTGTGCATCGCCGCTGAGCGGTGTCCCCGGGAACCGTGCTGGAATCGCTATGCAGCTAAATGATAAATGGAATCGACGTATTTAAGAGAATCGAACCGAACGACGCTATCCCGAGGACAATCGCGAATGTATTCGCGTCTTAATGTTTTCCATTACGGGGACGGATAATTAAAATGTGGGAAGAAGAGAAGCTGAAGTTGCATTTAGACTCCAGAATCGTGGGAAGTGAAATAATGAAAAGTAATTGGCCAATTAATTCCATGAGGTGACCAAAATTCTATGAAACCCAATCCGTGGGAGATTTGAGGTTCGTTGCTTGTTACTTCAATCTTTTACAGATTTTTAACCTTTTATTGAGCGAGCTGTGTTTCATCTTTTATTGTTTATACGCGTGTGAGTGAATCAATGTTTACAATAAGCTAAAACCAACTGAACTTGCTGAAGTATTGGTCCCTATAAAATTTGTTCAAATGTTTTTACTGCCTCGTGAAAACAAATATTACTCGTTATGAAAACACTTTTGGATATTCAAATTCATATATTATAATAGTTGCTTGACTCGATAAATAAATTCAAGTCAAAGATATTTGAAGATATTTTAGGAAGATAACAGAACTAACACAATACATTTTTTAACTGTAATGTTTCTAGTTTTATGACATTTTGTATAATATTGTTCTGGTTCTGTTTACAAAATTTATTGATTACCTAGCGTTGTCCTTTATTAATATTGTCCACTGCTTGAGGAAGAATAACAAGCCTAATTAAAATGCTAACTTTGAACGTGTGCAATATATTTAAACTGTTAAAAAGATCATTCATAATCACTTTTTAATAATTGTTTCATTACATAATAACAAAACAATTTGGTGTATTATGCTTCGTCTACAATATAATACGAACAAATAGACATGATATATTCTTCCATTTTCTTTGCAGAAGTACTAGTTTGTTTTGTAATTAAATTCTCAAGAAATAAGTTAACAATTCAACCATTGGTTTACCAGTCATTGTTACATTATTATTACTAATCTAATGGTGACGTTTCTAACACTGTAATTAAAAATATAATAACAGCTTATAATTTTTCAAAAACTCAATCACCAAAATCACCGTGATAATTTTACACCTACAATTGTCACTTTTGTCCCGTATATCCCCACTGTAAATTTATGATTCTATTGTGCTGTTATACCTAAAATAACGACTGGAAATTCTCCTAAAATGCGTATATTTAAAATATGTAGAAAACTGTAAGTTTACGAAACAATTAAGAATCACATTGATGAAGGAAAAAGAAAACGAAGATAAACAAAGATAAACGAAGTGCATTCACCATACATGTCAAAAAACCGAGTGAAATTTTCCCTTGAGTATTTCAATTCGTGTCTGAGACTACTTTTATGTTTGTTAATTATGTTGTTAATTATGTTTGTTTTTCCTAAGAAGGTCACAATACATGGTAACTTAAACGTGAGGATATAACTAAAGGCTTTTCCAAAGGAGACTTTAGTATTTCGTGTTTTAATAAAGCACAAATAGCATGGCATTCATTCCTTTTTCACACGAAATGTAAACACAAACGTGTCAAGAGATATTCAAAATTCACAGCAACTACCCTGACAGAAATATTTTCTTATTAAAAAACAAAATTCTAACATCTCTTGTGCAAAACCCTCCAATATTATTATTTATGATTACTTTTATATTTTTTCATTGTAATTTTTATTTTTATTTCCTGAAGAGAGTCACACTTCGTGTAAACCTAACCCATGAGTTTATAACTACAGATATATTAACAAGAGACTTTAACATTCCGCTTTTTAATAAAACACATTTACACAAACCTTACAGGATTTTTAAACAATTAAACGCGAAAAATTTCGTTTAAGTGTTCACCACGACTAAGGTGACAGGCATACATTGTCATCAAAAAACAAAATTCTAAATCCTGTTTTGGAAAGCCTCTAAATAACATGATTTACCATTATCGGTTATTTCCAAACCGTGATATTCCTTTTCCAGAAATGATCTCGCACGCGCACTCGAGCAGAAAAATACGTAACATCTCGAAAAATCTAAACGACGATTAATCGTTAACCTTTCCCTAATGAATAACATCGTCGCGTCGGTCACGCGAGGTACGGAACGGTGGATGACTAATTTTGAAATTACTCACCGAACAATGCCAGCAACCGGACAAATATCGAGTCGAGTATCAAAGCCGGCGATCCATCCAGCGACGCGCACAGAACTCGTTCGAGATTCAAGAGGGCGAAAAAGGTAGGAAAATCGGCAAGAGGTCCGCGAGCACGCTCGAGTTTTCTGTTTTTCCCCTTTTCGGTTCTCTTCTTTTCCCGGTGCCGGTACCGTTCGCTCCCAGCGCGGTGCCAAGTCAGCGATTGGCACACACAGGTGCGAAAAAACGGCGAAACAGAGGGAAAAGAGCGAAATGCGGAACAAAGCAAACCGTCCGGGGGGCTGTTGGAGAATCCTCGATGGTAGCGGATTTTCTCGATTCCGAAACGAAGGAACGTCCCTCGCGAAGGTGCCCCGACTGTCCAATAATTACGTAGACGGTATAATCTGGTTCAATGTCCTTGCACTCTATTTACGGGAGATCGAGCGCAGACAATCGCAACGATTCACTCTGTCCCGGAAATACGTCTTCCTGCTTGAATATTTTAAAAGGACATCCGATAACCCTCTGCGCGCGGAGGTCTTATTCTCGAAGACGGTCGGACGTCTTTCGTGTCTCGCGACGTGAAATCGTTGGCACGGTGAATTTGGTTGCTCGTTGTTTATCCTTGGAGGGTGTTGGATCTCTAAAGGATATCCTGCAAATGCTCGAACCGTTTACGTTTTATGCGATCGCGTACTGAACGGAGAAATCGGCGCAAGTCACTGCTGTGCGAGGACGTCGCGACGACTGGCGGACGCAGACTGATTCGGACGCCGACGTCCCTTGGTTTTCACAGCGCGCCGCGACGCTGAACGTCCCGACGCCGCTCGTCGAGGGCGCTCACGTTCGTTCGTGCCGTTTCGTTTGCGTGGCTTTCCGCCCCTCGCCTTTTCTTGCGATTCTTCGACGCGCACTCCCCTGTCCGTCGCGACGCACAGCGTCGAGACGTCGACGTTCGCTCGACGCGTACCTTCCCTTCACGGTGTCTTCCAACAACGGTGGGTTGGATACGATGGGCTTGGAAAAATGAACGCGAACGCAACAGTTGTGGACCGCCTGGCACTTGGAACCGAGTAACGGCCGGAAGCTGTAACTTTTAAAAGCAATTAAACTTTTCTGATCATTGTAAAGCGTAATGCATAGCTTCAACCCTTTGCACTCGAGAGGTGACTATCGCTCACTGGTGGATTTTACGCGCAACTACGTGCAGCGTCTGGGAGTCAACAATCTTTATTTATGCTAACGGTTTATTTACTGAGAGCCTATTTGTAGGATTTTAAATTCCAGTGTTTATCTCTTGGAAGTTATCAACTGTGTTGCTGGTTGTTTACTTATAACGTTTAATTTTGTCAGCTTAGACTAATATACAATATTTATGCAGAAAGATCTGTCAAGAAAGGAGCCTAGTTCAGAAGCTGAAAATGCACGTCTAAATTTAATTGTTATTGTAAATTCGTAAACTCTTTTGAATCCAAGTGCGACGCACGTCCACGAAGCTGGCCTTGTAAATAAATAACCCCTAATTAGTTTTAGCAAACCATATTGCGAATATATTAAATAATTATACTTGCAACATGCTTCTACTTAAGAATACCATTATCTTAATTTTTTAGCATTACAAATAACTTTTAATTTCGTGTAATAATAAAATAAAAATACTGTATTAAAATCTACAGCAATTGTATTAAACGTTACATGACTACAACAAGTTTATTGATATTCTACTTGTTTCATTTGCATATACTAGGTACCGTAGTATATGCTGCGAAGGTCGCAGTACCTTCGGTGAGGACGGAAGATGCAACAAAGAGGGTGCACGCGAAACAAGCCTGGAAAAATGAACAAAGACGAACGCAACAGTTGTGAATCTCATAGCGTGGTAAGCATATAGCGACTGGGCGCTAAGAAAAGTTCCGTTTTTATGCTCAACTTCTTCAGGCGCCGACGATTGCCACTTCAGGATTCCGCGGAAGACGAGAAAAAATGGTCTAAGACGTTTTATTTGAACTTCATATTTTTATAAATCATACCACTGGTACGCGATGTCCAGCCCTTCCGTCGAGTTCATCCCATCTGCAAAATAAAGTTAAAAATGAAACTGTTCGTTAGCTTGAACAAGCATCCCTTTATTTAAGTTTCCAACCTCAGTCGAAAATGAAACCAGAGATAAAAATATAACCTAAGGTAGTATGGAGATGGAAATAATTTTTCTTAATGATTGTGACAGATAAGTTCTTGTTGGTTAAAATGAATTAGACATATTTTTGTTTTGAATAAAGTTTAGCGTCACATCAACTGCATCTAATTGTAAATCAGTCTAATTGTAAGTGGTTATTGTTAATCGATATAAGTTTTATTGTTACCTTATTACAAGTTCCTTCTTATTACCTATATATCTTATCAAGTGTTCAATCATATCCTAAAGAGCATAATATTAATTAATGGAATGAGACAATTTCGTCAAATAAAACATATGTATACATATTCTTGGAAACTCTATTATACAAAAGTTTCATCAAGGTGAAAGAATTCATAATTCATCATACATATTACATGGAATTACACGATTCGCAAAGTATAATAATAATGCCTTTAAAAAATGTAACGAATGTTGAAAAGTTGGAGAAACAGTATTGTAAACACTGCTGACAGAGTGAACCAGTGATAAAAATGCTACGCAAGTTGTAAAAGTAAATATATCCATTTCCAAAAGGAGAAAGCACGATATAACGAAAATACGAACGCACTGACATGAAACTGGTACAAAAGTAGACAGAGAATGAATACAACAGTTGTGAATCTTTCAGAACCTGCAAGAACAGCGAGAATTTTCCTTCGCTTTCAGTTTGCCTACGTACTAGCATTTGCGTTGAAAAGTTTTCCAAAGGAAGAGAACCTCTCCAAACACTGTAATACTAAAAAGCACAAAACGCGTTCTTCATTCCCCTAATAGTATGTACATTCTTCGTATTTATTTGCACATCACGAAATATATACTCAGTAGATCAATAAAACGGTTCGTGTACCTTATAATAGCATATTATTGTTCTTATCCATACATTAACTGTGATCCTTAATTTCATATACGTAAACAAAGATTGTTATTTATTTTGGTCAATATTGCAAAATGTAAACATATTAAAATATGTACAATTTGAAGTCCTCCAAACCTATTATTATTTAACTAAATTCAATATATGCAGAAATTAAATTATTTTACAGCAGACTTAAACATCAGATAGAAAGATTTATACCAATAAACTTAAATATTATTTCTTGAAGTATGCTAATCAATATATGTTATATAAAACAAAATAGTCAACAGTATAATATGCGAAACAAGCATAGGAGCAAAAGGCTTTTGAAGACCTAACTGGCCACTTTTACTGAATAAAAATACCAAGTAAATAACTAAGAAACAAACGAGGGAACAAAGGCTGTTGTAGACGCGCTATCTTTTCCCAGCGATACATAATCCCTGTGATAGAAATCGTTCCCCTTAACGTGCCCGTGAGATCAAACGATCGACGAAATTGTCGAAAGGGACGTTGTGTATCGTTTCAACGGTTGTAGCAGTCTTTCAATTCCCCTTTCTACAAATTCTTTCGCATTCGAATGACGAGGAATCGAATGGGAAACAATTGTTTCGTCGATAATGTCAGTGTCAAATGGCGTGCGTGTTCGAGAACGCTGACGTCGCGACGCTACCGCCCGTCCTTGGCCGCCAACCCCCTGCGGTACGGAGATGAAAGGCAAAGCGGAGAAAAGGGGTGTTCAGTTTTCAACGGAGCGTATGGAAAAAATGAACAAAGCACGGATGCAACAGTTGTTCATTTTCTACATTTGTGTACAGAGGTTATAGAAGTACTGGAAACATTCGCGTCCAGAACCCCTTTATAGAGACAGTCATCGTGACAAGTGAGGCTTGCCGTGCCTCGAACGTTTTCGTTGCTTTGTCAAAAGGTGAACGATGACGCATAAAATTGATGAGCTCCGGTCATAACAAAGGAAAATATACGAGTAGTGTATCTATACACGCGACTTTTTCGCGTAACTAAATAAAAAATGATGAAAATAGACCAATATCAGTCGATGAAATTGAATTGAAATACCGAAGGAATATTTTGTAATTTAAAGAAAATCGCATTGTTTATAAATTCATTTTTTAAAGTTATCGAATAATAGAGGAACGTGTTACTGTTAGCATTCGAAATGCATCCCTCTAATTTTAGTTTTTTATATTCATCGATATTTTGAAATACATTGGATACAAAAAGAGAAAAAACAACCGGTTGGGTGTATATGTGTATACGTGTATATATTCGCCTCTGCTTTGCTTTATATCTCGAGAGTAGATTGATTGAAAATCATGAACTTTTGTTTAGTGGCATTTACATATGGGTCAAATTAAAAAAAAATGTTGTAGCTTTGGTTATGTTTACATGTATATGTATGTTTGCATTCGTTTTACTTTATACGTCGGGAATCGTTCATTGGAAAATCATGGGTATGGTGATTTCTGTATTGTGTAAAGACTGGTGGTTATATTTAAGGAAAAACTTAAAAATTAGTCTGCAATCTTGCAATTGGAACTGTTGACTGTTGAACGCAATTAAACTTGCTATGTTCCAAAGTAATATAAAGAGAGTTCTGCTACAACGTTGCTATCTTCCCCAAACAACTTAATAGGAATTAAGAAGTGTAAGTTTTAATCCGTGAGTAAGTAAAGACACAAAATTCGTAATTTAAAGTAGACGTACTTACGACGTGCTTTATCCGTTTCGCGGTTACACGAGCTTAAAATTCAATTCAAACAGCCCATTTAAATTCCTTGAAAATGTAGGAATCCTTGATAATGGAGGATCATTTTACTAAAAGTATTTAATATATTTTCGTTCGCTCATGTAACACAACGTAAAAAACGATTTACATTAAAAAAAAAAAAAAAAACCTACGTTGTCGACCGTCAGAATTTATTCGTCGATTGAATGTTTCGGTCCGCGAAAGAATAAATCGTCAAATAACAAACGCAACTTCATTCGAATCTGTAATGTTTGGGTCACGAGAGTGCACTCACCGTTAATGAATATCAACAGGCGTTATTAAATATTTATGGTGGCATGGTCTGCCACATACTATTTTCGAATCGCATTAACATTCCACTGTATTCTGAAACGAGAGAAATTTATCGTGGTACATTATGATTTGCAAGTTGCATTATATACTCCCTGCCCTATGTTGTGTAGCACGAAATAAATAGGTGCAAATAGAATACATGGATCACTATGATATATGATATATGATCAGACGCAACAGAAGTAAAATAGTTCAGAAAGAAAGAATAGTTAATTTTGTCTTTAAATATATTTAACATAAGTTTTCCTATATCTCCAATTATTTTCACAGAAATCGTAATTTCATTATTGCGCTACCTATCATATTAATGTATCATTTCCCAAGTTTCCTCTCGATAAATAATCTTACGTCAAAAATGAAACTTCACTCCTGTTTATCAAATACCATTAATGCATTCTGTTTTTCTTTCATTCGTCGACATTTCTATCTGCACAAGGTTTTCGCCCATTCCTGGTCGCCGGTACAGACGATCACGCAAACATTTCAAGTTGGTCCAATTTATTCCAACTTCGCTGTCGTCGAATCGAAGCTCTTCAAAGCATTTTATTCCAATCGACAGGCGCCTTCGTCGAGCGTCCTCCCACAAGTGCGTTCCATCACGCTTATCGCACCGACGAGGTTGCACGAGACGCATCATTAAACGCGTGTCCCTTGTGTTGGGTGCATTGGCATCCTTCAGCCCTTAGCGGTCTAGATTTCCCGATTTCGGGACATTTATGTCGAACCTCACTCGACACAGGATTGCATACGAATAAATGCAGAGGTGTCCTTTGGATGACACCGATTTTTCTTTGCCCAACACTATGATATGAGTAAAAATATATATACATGTCGAATTCAGTAACCTCTTCCTTTTCAAAGTCGGTTAAAAAAAAGGGTAGTTACTTAGTACGTTTCTAAACATTTTTTTTAACCATTTGCAGTCCAAATTCTCTGATTCGGGACATTTTTGGTAAGCCTCGACACAGGATTACAAAGGGTTAAATAAGGAGATATTCCTTTATCGATGCTAACAGAGTAATGTTTCTTCTCGCGAAGTCATGACACAATCGTCCCTTGTGTTATTGCGTTAACGTCATTTAACCCTTTGCAATTTAAATTCTTCGATTTCAGTATATTCCTCTCGAGCCTAACTCGACACAGGTCTACCAAAGATTAAGGAAACGTCCCTTGATCGATTCCAGCAGAACAATTCATCTCCTCGCCGAGCCAAGACACAAAATTGCCTCTTATCGTAACGCGTTACCGTCATTTTACCCATTCCAGTTCAGATTCTCTGATATCGATACATTTCTGTCGAGCCTCACTCGGCACAGACCTGCAAAGGATAAAACAGCGCGCTTGTCCCTCGGTCGGCGCGAACGTGGCAATTTTTCTCCGCGCGAAGCCGCGACACAAGTAAAAAGGATGTCGCGCTTGTGTCACCGACGGATGCAACAGTTGCTCGTATGACGCCTCTCACCTTGGCTTCCTAGGCGTCGTTGCATGTCGTCGTGCCGCGTCGTCACTGTAACCGAGCGCTGTGACGGAGCACGTTAACGCGGGTAGCGCAAACTCGGCGTCAGGATGCCACCGGAAAGAGGGAGGCGTCGGTGCGGCTGTCCACGGCTTTATGCTTCTCCTGGGAATTTCTCTCTCACACCAGCCGCGTTCAGACATTCACCCGGGCTCGTATCCACCTTCCCCGTGCCACGCAAGAGCCGTCGCGTGCTCCCACACACGCGCGAGGAATGGTGCTAAATGTCCACCGGTGTACAAAGACGCGGCGACGAGCTGAATAGGAACGTTCTCGGCGATAATTATTATTGTTGCTGCGCTACACGGATACAACCTCTATGGATACTGTCGTTGGGACGCGTGGCTTGATGCTTTTCCTATCTCGTGATTTACGGGAACGCGCGAATTGCGACGCGAATCAGCTTTGCCGCGTGCACACCGCGTTTGCGATCATTGTAATTAAGGAAATGGAATCCAGAGGGGTAGTTGGGGACGAAGCTCTGGTTTGTTGTGACGTATTAATTTTTTTTTATGTTTTAGGATACGTTTTTATAGTTTATGATATCTAAATAATTTCGTAAGGTATTTGAAAGTCTAATGAATCGTCATTGGGCCTTTCGAAGAGAATACTGAGAATCTTGTGAGAATATTTTAAGGGTTATGAAAATTGAAGCCTTTCAATTAT